CAATTTTTCAGGTCACTATCAAATGTTGCTTGTTTAGAAAAAATAAAACAGACGGTAATATTACCAGTAGAAATTAAACAGCGGGCATTTGTCAAGTGTTGCGGGAGCAGCTATCCAGTAAATCATTTTTATCGAAAACAATTTTGTTCCAAAAGCATTTTTCAATATGCACTGGAAGAGTAAAGTTATGGGTAGACCGCGCTAGAAACGGCGGAAGGACCAGCTACCTTCAAGTTGCAACGTCGTATGGTGAACCTCTTCACTACCAGATTATGGCCGGAGAGTGCCCACGAACGTGTAACCGGCGCAAGATAAACTGGTATGACTAAGTTTCCATCAAAAGGAATTAGAAAATGTGCAGTAAAATTTAGCTTTGCTGTTCACAGATTCCACTATCTTCTTGGAGTCGACGCCTGTTCGGATTCTACAAAAATATGTCTTTGAAAATCTACTAGTCTGATCGTCATTTTGATGCTGGTGGTGCCTTTAATAATCTGTTCTGTAAAAATATTCTAATGGTTAAAACTAGCAAATGGAATGTCTGTTCAATAAGTCGGCCCCCCACAAATCATAATTACCATCAATTGCCACGAATCAAATGAGTCGTCCTTGTAAGCCAGTCAATCTGAAATGCTCACTACAGCAAAAATTTTGTGGGTTGCCTGTACAAACGCGAGTTCTGTTTTGGGTTCGTGTTTTTTTTACAAAATTATTTAGAAAAGCAAAGGTTTTTTGGTAAGAGACGTATACAGTTTTGAAATTGAAGGTTAAATCTAACGAAAGAAGAGTAGAAGCGAACATATTCGTATATGTACGCGTTAGACCGCAGAGTAAGTGATACCACGAAAAAAAAGATGAATGTTCAAAGCAGAAGTTGAGAACCAAAACGATTTTTTGGCCTGCGACAAACCTTCTTAAGAAGTCTTGGCCGTTGAAGGTTAGCTGAAAGCCGTTCTAACAATACTGTTGCTTTAAAGAGGCTTTCTCAATTGCTCCCTGCGCTCTTATATACCATAAAGGAAAATATTGCGATAAGAATGTTGTAATTATCAAATAATGATTGTACCTACTAGAAAATAAGCCAAGTAGTAAAGTATCCGTATGCATCTAAAGTTTAAGTGTCGCTATTCACTTTTAAATCCCCCCTCTAAGCCACTGATGAAAGCCTGGTGGAACTCAAGTCACATTGTAGCAGATGAGGTTTTTGCTCCATTTATTTTGATAGTCCAGTATGCAGTGACTACCAATGACAAGGATGCCCCATCCTGCTCGTGTAGTTCCATTGTAGGCCTTTAAAGACTAGAATACAAACATGCACTGTTGCTGAGACAAATTTCCCATTCCCCTAACTTTGCAGTAATCGCTGTGAAGTCTGATTATCAACGATGGAACTTATTGACGTTATATGTCTGGATCGATTTATTAATGTTGCTAATATACTTTACCCAGAAGGAGTCCTCGTAATCGGAGGTCAAGAAATCCTAAACCAGTCACCGGTATGGAGAACTTTTATCGATAAGTTCCTCTGCGTCCGCAGTTATCTTATTGGATTTTACAACTGGTCAGAAGAGTACGTACAGCAACTTGTGGCAAGATCATACCTCGCTCAAAAAAATAGGCATCGCTAACAAACAAAAACATCCACGAAAACATGAAGTTTGAATAAATTGTCTTCTTTCCTTGAACATATTATACGTTTTAACAGAAACTTTTCTACTTTATTCCAACTTACCTTTATTTCTTTCCATATTTTACATATTTCTTCTGGTAAGGCTTGGTCCCAAGTGTATGATTCCTTTCATAATGATTGTACAAGAATCTTTGCCTTCAAGTTTGCCGGAGCTAGTATACCTAGCGAGTCATAATTTTGAGCAAGTCGTGCCAAGATATTTCTCTTCGCTATCGATTCATTTTTAGAAATTTCTTTAGAAAAACTTATTTCTAATTCATCCTTTGGAATTCGCCAGGTGAATCCCAAGATTTTTTGCGTATGGCTTTCGGCAAGGTTTTTCTTGGCCATCATTTCCTGAAAATCTGGTATATTTGATGCCTACGCTTGCATATTGAGTGAGGCTCTACAAAAGGTTTCCTTAATAGTATGATACAACTGAATGACTTCATCTTGTCCAGTGCTCATCCAGTGATTTAATTATCAACATGAATCTGCTGTTGTATTTGTTTTAACATTTCTACTCGGTTTTCATTTCCCTCACTAGATGCTTCTTCAGTAGTTCTTCTCAGATAATACGCTACCGTTACCGTTAGCAAAAATGGACTTGGAATAAAGCCGAAGGCTATTCTCCCGAACTGGTAGATCTCGAGGTTTGTAGGTTTCAAACCTAGGAAGAGTTCTTCTAACCACAGAAACCTCGTCATGTCCCGACCCTTTTCATGGAGCTCAGTCTGAAGAAACGCCTTTTTGATGTCGGCTATAACTCCATATGGATAACTTCTGAGTCGTAGAAGAATGCCGCACAATTCCGATGACATAACTAGTCCTCGGTAAAGACTTTCATTCAAAGATAACGCTTCATTATTTGATTTGGCTGACGCATTGTAAATCATTCTTATTTTGGTTGTTTGTTTGGAAGGTGTAATAACCAGATGATGTGGTAGATAAAATACGTTGCGGCTAGGGTTACTTAAAATAACCTTTTCAATTATGTTGTTGGACTTCTGATCTTTTATAATTTGATCATATTGCTGTATCAAACCTTCCTTGACGACTCAATTAAGTACACTTTTTAGACGCGAATAACATAAAAAATAATTGTCGGACACAGGTCCAGTGAAATTTCTGTAAGGCCAACTAACAATATACCTATTATCTCTAAACTCAAGAGTTTGATGAAATTGTTTTAAAGCCTCATCGTCGTCCACTGTATTCGGGGGATCTGTAATTCCTAAAGTCTTTAAATTCCAAAAGGATTCAACCGCGTCTGGAACATCGTAACAAGCAACCATATTAGTGGTGTGGACTGCATCACACTCCTCAATTTTGCCCGTTATTGCCTTCTCCAACTTGGTTGGTACGACGTACAATCCTTCAGACGTTTTGTCTAAATTCAAATCAATCAATTCCCAGTAATAATCAACACCTATAAGAACACCTGGTTTAACAAACTGATTTGCGGCTAAAGCACCATCTTTATTCTTAAAACAGATGTTTAATTCTGAGGTCATTTCGTCCATAACCTTTAGCCCTAACTTTGTTTGAGTACCGTCACATAAGTGTAAAGTTACTTCTAATTTAGGAAGATAATATTTAAGTGAATTACGCGCAGGAAACGTATGCAACATCAACAGTTCTCTAAGAATAACTGGCAAATTCAATTCTTGAGTTAATTTGTTGGACATGAACGAACACTGACTACCGCTGTCAAAGAATAAGTAGGTTTCCTTTTTTAATTTTTTCACTGAGTGGATTATTTACAACAACCTTGACAACTGCGAGTAAAGCTTCTCCGGGTTTTCGATCTATGACCGATTTGACTTCTAAAGTTGACACCTGCGTTCTTTCTCGTTTTCCTTTCTTTTCATTCAAAAGCTTGTCTGTTGGCTGGTTACCAAAGCGATCACAAAATGCAGAATTATGGTTCTTACGGCAATAATAACAATTCTGACCCATTTGACAATTTTTAGATTGATGTCCTGTTCTTAAACGTCTTATGCATAGCCCTAATTCGTAAGCTCCCTTCTTTCTCTGGTCTAATATCTTACAGACTTGACACTCACTATTGTAATGATTCCCATTACAAAAAACACAAGGCAGTTTGCTACCTTTCATTTGGCTAACCCTTATCTTATAAGTAGATGGTTTTTGTATCAGTGCTGGACGTATTTTGGGAAGACGACGGTCTTTTTGCCATATCATGTCCCGCAATTTCCTTTGCTCCGATAATATGATACAGAATTTCCAACATTCAGTCTAGATTTCATTCCTTATCCTCCTCTAGTCTTATCTTTTCAACATGATAAATAATATTTGACGGAAACTTTTCCTGGATGATCATCATAATAGCTAGTTGATCAATCCCATGTTGAAAACTTTCTAATTGTAATAAAATTTGCTTAATCGCCTCCACCGTTGTCCTCAGACTATTGGGATCTTCCTTCGCCATTGAAAGATTTTTCTACTTTCTATATACCATCTGATATCGCATGTCTTCGTTTCCAAATTTCTTTTTTAAAATATCTGTTGCGTCCTGACACATATCTTTTCTTCTCGACAAATCTTCTATGGCTATTTCTGCTCATCCTTCGAGTAGAGAAATTAAGAAGTGGAATTTATCAGGAGTTCGTAAATTGGTGTTCTCATGGATTGTAGGGGAGAAATAATCCCAAAAAGTGGACCATTTAAGCGGATCACTGTTGAATTTAGGCAATTTCACTTCAAGTAGCTTTAATCTCAACGGATACGCTTTCGGAGCCCTAGCTAAACTCATGTTTGACCCCTACTGACATCTCCCTTGAAGTTCATTTGGTAAACTATTACCTATTCTGACCGATAATACGCTTAAAACTTCAAACCCTTCATATAACGTTTCTAAGAACTTAGTTTCTTCATCTCAAATCTTGTTTGCCTTGATTTCTTCCTTTAGGCGTTCACCTTTTAATCCTGACATCATTGAGGATAATTTATTGTTTTTATCTTCCATCATTGCCGTCTTTCCTTCGATAAGTTTTTGTAGCTCCATCAACTTCTGTGTTCTTCGTTACGGATCTTTGATTGGCTGGCTTTCATACTGTTTAAATTTGTTTAAGTGTAATTGAAGACCCTTCAGTAACACATTTAATCTTTGTTTGCCCAAACCCGTCATTATGATAACGTTTTTCGATCAAAAAATTCTTTATTCTCATTCTGTTGCTGGTTAGACTTAAGAATAATTTGCAACTACCTATCCTTAGGTCGCTGCCCTTTGATGTCCAACTGGTTGGACCAAGAAGAAAAAATGTTGCGACTACCAACACTATTTCTAATTGAAGGACGGTCTATGCCCTTTTCCTACTATGCTTTTCGAGAGCTCGATGTTCTTTGCTTTATACTGCAGACCCAACAGCCGCAATTATAATATATATATATATATATATATATATA